TATTTTTTACTCAGTTTCATAGGAAAAAAGAAAATTGTGGGTGGAATCTTGGAATTTTTTAGTCAGAGATTTTAGGTGTTTAAGGATCGAATTGCATTGTTATCCGTTGTACTGTATTTCTAATGTATAATTTTGATAAATTTCTCCATCAATTTTCCTTTTTTCTTTTAATTATTTTAAAGTTTGAAGATCGTTAACAAAATTCTTTCAAAATTTCAAAATCACTAACAAAATTACACATTATAAATCTTATTAAATGATCGAAGATAGTTCTCTTAGAGTGTCATTACCCATTAGGGGGAGTTCCCTTAACGCCGGACGGCACCTAATACCGGACATTAGTTATATCTGAAATAATTGAAACGCTACGGAGCCGTTATTCTGCGTATCTCCTAGAGGAGACACAAGGAATAAAAATAAGTTTTCTGCGCGTTTCAGTCGTGTGTGTACAGGTAGAGAGATTTATTTAAGAAAACCCTTAAGCGTCCGGCGCTAGGGGAACTTCCCCTACGTTACACTTCAAACACAATTTCAATAGATTCCTTCGCTAATTTTCCTTCGTTGTCAATTATAAATTACAGATCGCCAGTCTCACCAGCTTCACTTTCTTCGGATGAACAGAGAACGTGGTTTTGTCGCTTCTCAGAGCAGGAGGCGGCGTTGTGCCGAGAATTCCAACAGCGGCGCCTAATAGTTCACCGACGAAAGTTTCATCCTGGTCCTTCACGAAGAACTTTCTCCACTGGTTGTAAGAGACCAAGATCGACTTGTGGGACTCGCTGATGTGACTGTCGTGCACGCCCAACATCATCGCGAGGACTTTGTCGGTGATCAGGTGCCTAGATAGACTCGTCGCGTGTTCCGGTCGACTTTGAATTCGTTCTAACAGCACTGGACACACGACGACGATCTGCAAACGAGCCGATCGAATCCTCTCCTCGCTGCCTGGCAGCATTGGATCTTCGACTGTCACGTGACGTACCCTGCAATATTTTTTAAGCGGTTATTGTCGGTTCTTTAACGTAGAAATTGAAAGGTGTATTTTTGAATTCGAATTAGTACATTGAAATTTTCAAATCCAAACGTTAAATTGAAATTTTCGAATCCAAACGTCAAATTTATATTATTAAATTCGAATTTTCAAATCCAAACTTCTGGTTCAAATTTTTTTATTCAGTCTTCAAGCTCCGTTTCCAAATTCACGTTTTCAAATCCAAACGTCAAATTCAAAGTTTTGTATTCAGGCTTTAAGCTCCATTTACAAATTCAAATTTTTGTAGTCAAATTCCAAGTTTCAATTCCAAATTTAAGTTTTTATATTCAGATTCCAATGTTCAGTTTTTAAGCTCCATTTCGAAATTCAAATTCCAAATTCAAATTTTTATATTCAAATTCCAATATTCAGTTTCTAAGCTTCATTCTCAAATTCAAATTTTCACATTCAAATTCCAAGTTCCAATTCCAAATACAACTTCTTACATTCAAATTCTAACTTCCAATTCCAAATTCAAATTTTTATATACAAATTCCAAGTTTTAATTGCAAATTTAAATTTTTATATTCAAATTCCAATATTCAATTTTTAAGCTCCATTTCCAAATTCAAATTTTTACATTTAAATTCCAAATTTAAATTTTTTCATTCAAAAGCAACATTTTCAAATTAAAATTTTTATATTCAAATTCCAATATTCAGTTTTTAAGCTCCATTTCCAAATTCAAAGTTTTACATTCAAATTCCAAGTTTCAATTCCAAATTCAAATTTTTACATTCAAATTCCAAGTTTCAATTCCAAATACAACTTCTTATATTCAAGTTTTCAAGCTCCATTTTCAAATTCAAAGTTTTACATTCAAATTCCAATATTCAGTTTTTAAGCTCCATTTCCAAATTCAAATTTTTACATTCAAATTCCAAATTTAAATTTTTGCATTCAAATTCCAAGTTTCAATTCCAAATACTCCTTCTTATATTCAAATTGTCAAGCTCCATTTTCAAATTCAAATTTTTATATCCAAAATCCAAATCTCAGTTCCAAATACTTCTTATATTCAAATCTCAAATTCCAGTTCCAAATTGAACTTTCAAATACCCATCTCTACCTTCAAATTATCACAGTCAACCATAAAAATAAAAATTCTGCAAATTCACATTTTCCAAGCGTACAAAAATTTGGTCAAAAAATATCGCAGTAGAAACTACGAGAGCAATTACTTGAAAGGCGGCCGGCCCTGTTGCCTGCTGATCTGCTCGAAGCAGGCTGTGAGATAATTCACCCATAGACTGGAAATTTCGCTGTCCTTGCTGGACACGAACAGAACGTCATCTTCGTGGTGCGATTCGATCTTCGAGATCCCGGTCGCTGAACGTGATCCTGCAACAATTCCATTTTTCCCTTTTAAACAACCAACACCTCCAACGACAAATCAGCTCCTCCTGAAAATTTCCCACTCGATGAAAATAATCGCGAAACACGCACACAGCGTCGTTTCAGGATCGATAGCTCTTTCGTTGTTTTAATTAACAACGCGGTTCATTTCGCGCAAGCTATTAACGCATTAGCGGGAAGACACACCTTGCTTTAGTTTTCTCCCCCTAGTCTCTCCGTGGTTCGTGTTTCGTTTAATGCGACACGCGACGCTAATGAAATAATGCCCTTCTAATGCGTTTGTTCCGCGTTATTCGAGAAAACGACATCGCGACCAGACGTGAAAATCATCGATCATATTCGCGATAACGTCGAACGCTCTGTTTTCGACGATTTGGTAATTGTGTGGGTAAACAGTTGCTTGGAGATTGAAACTTCGTTTTGAGGTTAGAAAATTTTTTAGTTTAAATCTGTGAGCAGTTTTTATTCGCGCAATTGACGAATCGTGTGAAATGGGGACCAGTGGGTGTATAAAAATTGATCCAAACATTTTATTATTAATTCTAAGTAAAGAATTACTGTGAAACGCGTTCGAATAATTTAATGTTCGTTGTAAAATTTTGTAACATTAAAGTTAATTAGAAAGAAACTTAGTGTTCAAATTATATAAATTTCAGGATTATAGAAAAAAGTAATTTTAGAGATAATAATTTTCTAGGTTAGGAGAGAAGAATATAAAAATTTCTAGATATCGTGTGAAAGATATAGTTATTTTATCACTATCAAAATGGCTGCAATGTTATTTATTGCTGCAAATCTTTTTTTCTTTGAATTCTTAATCGAGGTTTACGTATTTAGGTTATTTCCATCGCGTTAAGGATCATTGGCTACCAATCGGGAGTCTTTAATTAGTCAGCTGAACAGTTGAGCTCGATTAAGAATTCAAGCAATCGAGGCTAATGAAATTCACCAAACTCTCGCTTTCTTTTCCTCCTTCGTTCGAAAAAATCGAACGCGTTCTCCATTTTCCATATTTCTACGTCGATATAGCATTTCGAAAATAAAAATCCACTCAAAAAATTTGAAATATCAATTTCAAATCGATTTTATAAATTTTGTTTACCCACGCGATATATGAAAAATAAGCAAAAAAACGATAAAAATAAGAAAAATGTTCTTCCTCCGTACGATTGCATTTCGGTAACCTTGAAATTTGTCGCGGAACAGTGAACGCGCGAAACCGAGACGAGTTCTTATCTAAACTTCTCAATGCAGCCAGCTTAGGAAGAGAGAGAGTGGAGGAGCAAAAGGAGCTCGCGAGTTTATCGAGCGTACAATGGTATAATTAATGGGGTCGTTCGTTTTCCATAACCGCGATCGTTTCTCGTACAACGGGGCTTTTGTGCCGGCCCGATATCGATATCTGCTAGAAGCCGACTGGAAACGCACCGGGGTTCACGATCCCTTCAGCCGAAAATAACCGGAAAGAGTCACATTTTTCTACTCTTTTCTCTCTCTCTCTCCTCCTCACCACCGCCCCCTTTTTTTTGGTTATAATACAGGCTATCTGTTATCAGCTGTCGTTCGAGTGCTTTCACCGAATCGTATATTTTACGGCGAGATGGAAATAAACAGGAATTCTTATCTTCGTTGAAAAGACATTTTTTTGGAAGAGTTTTTACCGTGTGATGGTATTTTTGTGAAATTTTATTTAGTTATTTTGTTTCGGGATTGAGCTTTCGATGGTAAAACAGAGTTGTGTTTAATTTTGGTAAATTATAGGGGAATTTGATTAATTCTCTGTCAAATTGGATTTAGTTATTTATTTTTGGGACTAAATTTGTAACAGTACAGCAAATCAGCTCTCAACTTTGTTAAATTCTAAGGAAATCTAATGCAATATATTGATTATGCGTGAAATTTTCATTTTTGGAACTAAATTTAAAATGGTGTTACAGAACAGATCTCAACTTTACTAAGTTACAATGGAACTACTTGAAAGAAAACGATACAAAAGCAGTCATAGCTTGGGAATAAGCGAACGTACGAAAGTACTGTAGAACCGTTAATGGAAAAAAAGAGTTAGGTTAGGATGGAATAGACGGCGAAGTTATGGGACAGTAGAAATGTCGACGAACATTCCAGGGCACGGAGGCTCTGAAAATAACCGGGCACGGGGTAAACTTTCATTTTCTCCCCCGTTCCTCTGTGCCAGCCCCGTTTCCCGTGAAAACCGCGGACAAATAAACGCGCTGTTAAGAATAGAAGAACACCATAGTCGGCGCAAAGGGTTCGTTTCCGTGTTCCTAACACGTGGTTTCCATCCTGAGGCGCACTATGGAACATGGACGTCAACTTTTTCTACTAGAATCAACTAGAATCTCAGTTCTTTCTGTAAAATAGGACCAACCTTGGTGTAAATACCAAATTTTCGTCTGTTATCCTAACCTCTTTAAAATTTTTCCTCATTTATCGATGTTTAGAAGTGTTTCAAAATTTTTGTTTAGTATTGTTGCTCATTTCTTAAGGATTTTTAACCTGTTAACTGAATTCACCTCTTAACCCTTTGCGATCGGCACATTTCTCTGGTTGGACTATCAGCTAGTCGAAGCAAATTAAAATTTTCAAAGTTATTTTTGCATAGTTTATTTATTATATATATAAGGATATTGAAAAACAGAATATTTTGAAACTGATACATTTTGTTTAATACATACTAGTTATAGTGCATAAAAATAAAACGTTTTAATTTTTGTAATTTTCCAAAGTATGATACTTGACAAAACAAAGATCATGCCGCCATAGCGGCGACACCGATTTCTAGAACAAAATTGAAATGCCGCCACTATGGCGGCACCGATCGCAAAGGGTTAAACAGAACTCTAATCTGTATAATTTATAAATAAAACGAGTGAAAATTGCAGGCGATAATTTCATTTTAATTTCTGCAAATGGGAATAACGTGTTTTACGTTGTACAGCTGAAAATGAATAATCTCTCGATGAATAAATTATTGGGTTCGAAATATTAACCGAATATTAAATAGCTAACTCGTCTCCATCGGTTAACAGTTTAAATTTTAATGAAATTACCATTAATGCCTTGGAATATTTATGAATTTGCAATTACTCGCGAATTCGCAAATTTCTTCTTTTTCTCGGTGAAAATAATGATTTCGATTGAATAAATTTAAATTTCATTACCCCGAATTCCTTGGAATATTGACGAATTCGCAAACTTCTTTTCTTTTTCTCACTGAAGATAACGATTTCGATCGGATAAAAGAAGTATTTCTTCTGGAAGAAATATTTCTCTGTTGAAGCGAATGAAAGGTTCAGAAGCGATAGACGTCTATCGGCGATCGAAAATATTCCTTCCCGTACTTGGCTCGCAGAGCCGCCATGTTGGCGGCACTTGCGTTCGCTACGTGACGCGCGTGGCTTCCGTTTTCGGCGTATCCGGTCTTCCACCGAATTAATAGTCGCGAACGATTAAAGTCGCGGGCCGTTATGCGTTCTCTTCGTAACACGATCTTAGCCTTTGCTCGACAGGAAGTGCCGTATAACGGATGTTTTCGAAAAATATAACGCCCTCGCATCGATCGGCCGATCGATCGATCCCATTTCTCCTTTCGTCTCCTTTGAAGATCGTAAGAGAATCTTCGTTCCACAAAATAATTGAAAGAAGCGAGCGATTTATTTTCCTCTTAAATTTAGAAAAAATATCGGAAAGAATCGAGAGATTCATTTCCCCCTTTTTTTATAATTTAAGAAGAAATAATTGAAAGAAGCGAGCGATTTATTTTCCGCTAAAATTTAGAAAAAATATCGGAAAGAATCGAGAGATTCATTTCCCCCTTTTTTTATAATTTAAGAAGAAATAATTGAAAGAAGCGAGCGATTTATTTTCCGCTAAAATTTAGAAAAAATATCGGAAAGAATCGAGAGATTCATTTCCCCCTTTTTTTATAATTTAAGAAGAAATAATTGAAAGAAGCGAGCGATTTATTTTCCGCTAAAATTTAGAAAAAATATCGGAAAGAATCGAGAGATTCATTTCCCCCTTTTTTTATAATTTAAGAAGAAATAATTGAAAGAAGCGAGCGATTTATTTTCCGCTAAAATTTAGAAAAAATATCGGAAAGAATCGAGAGATTCATTTCCCCCTTTTTTTATAATTTAAGAAGAAATAATTGAAAGAAGCGAGCGATTTATTTTCCGCTAAAATTTAGAAAAAATATCGGAAAGAATCGAGAGATTCATTTCCCCCTTTTTTTATAATTTAAGAAGAAATAATTGAAAGAAGCGAGCGATTTATTTTCCGCTAAAATTTAGAAAAAATATCGGAAAGAATCGAGAGATTCATTTCCCCCTTTTTTTATAATTTAAGAAGAAATAATTGAAAGAAGCGAGCGATTTATTTTCCGCTAAAATTTAGAAAAAATATCGGAAAGAATCGAGAGATTCATTTCCCCCTTTTTTTATAATTTAAGAAGAAATAATTGAAAGAAGCGAGCGATTTATTTTCCGCTAAAATTTAGAAAAAATATCGGAAAGAATCGAGAGATTCATTTCCCCCTTTTTTTATAATTTAAGAAGAAATAATTGAAAGAAGCGAGCGATTTATTTTCCGCTAAAATTTAGAAAAAATATCGGAAAGAATCGAGAGATTCATTTCCCCCTTTTTTTATAATTTAAGAAGAAATAATTGAAAGAAGCGAGCGATTTATTTTCCGCTAAAATTTAGAAAAAATATCGGAAAGAATCGAGAGATTCATTTCCCCCTTTTTTTATAATTTCCCCTTTTCCACATTTTCAAAAATATTTCTTTCGCGTTTCGCTACTTCACTAATATCGAAACGAGAGTCTGATGGAATATCAGAGAAGCGATCACTGTATCTCCACTTTCCATTTACCTTCCTCTCTTAAATCAAGGAAGAATAATCGAAAGAAGCTAATAATTCATCTCCCTCTATTTCAAACTTAAAGAAAACCTATTTCATGTTC